ATAGTTATATATTGTTTTTGTAAGTACATAACTCTTGTTTGCTGGAATAATTCTCTAGACTATTTGAGAAATGAAGAACAGGTTGTTTGGGGATTCTGATATATTGAGAAATGAAGGTATTTTCTATTAGTTACATATTGTTTTGTCTTTATTCTTTAATTGTAATCAATCGTATATTTATTCAAAGGACTTTTTATTTAGAGAAATAAATGTTTTGACTTTTGGTAGATGTTATGGTAAAGGAATAACTCAGGAAAAAGACTTCTGTATTATACATGGGACTTTGAACATGATTTTGTAGGATTTGTGATCTTCCTTGTATGTACATTGTACACAGATTATTAAAGATAATCGTAAAGTGAGTTTTATCTCCAGACAAGTATAAGAAGGTAAAATTCTCAGAGTTTTCTTTAATAAGTTATACAGCTGCAGTTTGCAAGAAGGTGAGCCAACCTGTTTTCATAGTTGGTTATACCACCTGTTCGAGTAGTTGATTTGGGGTAGACATTTTTCAGAGCAGATTTTTAAATGAATTTGAACAAAATGTAAATAGGACTGACCCATAATATAGAATGCTGCTTTCATGCTCGTAATAAAAGATTTATGTTTTCAGTATCAAATTATTCAAATTAATTTATTACTGATGTCTTAAATTACAACCTGGTGTTTCATTTTTGAATAACTTTACATTGCCATAGAGATGATTTAAACAATTTAAAATAGGCCTACTTAAAGTTTTGGCAATATTTCATCCTCTCATTACATTTATCACTTAGAAGAAGGCGAAACATGGTTCTAAACTAAATCAGGAAATTGCCTAGTACTTATTTTGAATAAATGGGGATGAGTTCAAGATTGGAAAAGCCAGGATTTTTTGGCAGATTGTCCTCTAATGTATTCTTCAGCAGATTGAGCATCTACTGTATTTGTTTCTCAAGTTGATTTTTGGTATGTGTTTACCCAAAATGGACTACTATGCCTAAGAAATGGAAAGCAATATGACTATTATGTTGTATAAATAGAGGGAATGCATTTAAAAAAAGAGATTTTTTCATTCCTTTCCTTGTTCCAAGTTAGAAGTAAAATCTAAAATCATCGGTATATATATTTAATAACTCACTATAGATACTTTCGTATAATAATGTCAATATACTGTCCATTTCTAGAGAGAATAGTACTCTGCATCACCAAGTGGAACAGATGCTTCAAAAAATTTCTCCTCTGCAGAAATGTCAGGAAGAACTGGGATCTTTAAAAGCAGAGTTAGAAGAGAAAAAGGTAACTAAAATTATTTTCTGAAAAGCTTTATGGTCAATAAATTAGGATCAGCTCATTCACTTTAACTGGGACAAGGGGAGTTTTTATGTGTTTAAAAAAGGAAATAAATGCTAGTCAAGACTCTTTAAGTGTATTACTGTCCTTAGAGAACATTGAACTAATTGATAATTGGCTTAGTCTTTACAGTGATTATTTGCTCTGCAGTACTGTGTCAGTTCCTATGCTTTTTGGGAGGATCAGGATCAGTAGAGGA